TTAACGTTAAGGTTAAGGTAACCGGTAAACCGAACGTAACGTTACGTACGTTTAGGTTCGTTACTTTAGTTAAGTAGTAGTAGACACTACGACTCTCTCTCTCTCTCTCTCTCTCTCTCTCTCTCTCTCTCTCTCTCTCTGTTTTGCATTGTAAATGATAAATATCTTGAAATTCTACCTTCATAGACTCAGAAATGTATGTCGCAGGCATATATGTAACATGTATCATAAGCTTTCACATTGAGCACGGATGCATGCACACATGCACCAGCCTATATAGAATCCATTAATGAATGTATACTGATATGCCTAACATATATGGTAGCATGTGCGCTTGTATGCATGCAAAGGTACACAAATGATAGCATTAGTGCACATGCAGCATGAGTAATAAGTACTTGTAAAGAGTACAATGGCTAGGCTGCACACACAGACTTCATGCGTATATTCTATAAGTATAGAAGCTCTATTCTTGCATAGAATCTAAAGTATAAAAGCTCTATATTTGTGATGACATTATCAAAAACCAACAGTTGTTACATGTTACTAATAGGCACAAGAATTCAAGCAACTCATCAGTGAGAACTGCTGGGACTTAAAAGGGGGGTCAACGCATCATAATGATCAACAGTCATCATGAATTACATGCAAATTCATGCATTAATCATTCTGTTTACGTGCCCAAACATCACAAGCTTTGTGCACGTAGCGAAGCTTATTGAAATCAAAGTGGGTTTTTCCAAGTGATGAAGATTTTTCAGTTGTTAAGGAGAATTGACATATGGTCTTTGTTTGTCTACTCGATTAGAATTGGCTTTCAGGTACCAATGGGTTTGCAAAGCATGATTAATTTTTGTACATGAAATAAATTTGTAAATATACATTGACAAATATATATACATTTAGATCAATGAAGTTCAGTAGGGGTGGTTATGTTGGGGATTAATGAATTCTGAACAGTATAAACTATGATGCAAATTTACACTGAGAACTATGTAAAATGTTTAGTTTTGCAAGTTCTGTTTGCAATCAGGTTCATTTTAGCCCTCAGCAACAATTTATAGGGAGAACCATGAGCAAGAACATTAAACAGTTCTACATGGACATGATGACACAAGAAAGTTCTCAAGTTGTTTGATAAAGAGACTGGTTTAGAGAGAAAATCAATTTCTTTGTTCAAAAGAAGCAGAACTTATTATTGTTTTTTTTACATGAGAAGCGATTAATTAGTATCAATAATTCTCTCTCTCTCTCT